TTTATAAACCTTTCACATTTATAAACCTTTCACATTTATAAACCTTTCACATTTATAAACCTTTCAAACTTATATACCTTTCATACTTGTAAACCTTTCACATTTACAAACCTTTCATACTTATAAACAGGTAAAAACAGAAGAAACTGAATATTCACCAAGTTCAGTGGAACTTATTATAAATTAAATCAAACTTTATTTCTGCTTTTTATACCATTTAAGCCCCACACATAATAAAATCTAATAAAATATGCTAGCTTGCATGGCCACCATCTTGCTAAGTGCTACYTCATGTTTTCATGTCAAAGCTCCACATGTATGTGAGCTCCATGCCGAGTCAGCTCTCCTAAACTAAATAAAACTCATCTATTCTGCTCAAACAGACAATATATCATGACTATTGTGAAAACAAAGAAAATGAATTCTGTGATGATCCACGGAGACCAGTATAAGACCAGTTTACCTCAACAAAATGGTTTTAACCATTAACAGTAGCTGTTCAAACTCATCTTTACTTTAACTTTGCAGCTTCTACAAATGTTTGTCTATGTTAGAGCATGTGTCTCTAATGTTCAGCTTCATGTGGTCTTCAGGGACCTAAGGTCCACTGTCCAGGAGAACAGGGCTAAAGAGAAGAACAGAGTCCGTTTCAACAGCAAGGCTCAAAGCAAAGCTATACAGAGAGCAGAGAGACCAGTTGTGTTGTGGTTTGGACACAGAGACATGGACAAAAAGACAGGGGACAGAAGTGGACATGTCCCAGCTGAACATGCTGAGGTTCTCCTTGGAGAGACAAGGATGGAGAAGATTAGGAGTTACATCAGAGGGAAATATCCTGCCCACTGCTCACAACAGGCAACAAAACAACTGTTTCATTAACAAACAGCCCAACTAATTATTTTAATCTCTTTAAGATAACTTCATATAAATCATGATTCATGTTTATTAAATACACCAATCATGTAAAACAGCTAAATATTAAATAAAGACCATATAATGGAATTAATGTCTGACTTCAACTAGCTGATGAGTTTACAACTAACTTTTCTAACAAGTCCTTTGTATTGATGTAAGCTAAGTGTCATCTGTAAATCCAGAGCTTTGTAAGTTCTGCTGGAACAGTTGGAAAGACGACTGTATTTTCTAACAGCCTCAGCCAGCAGCTCCTCAGCAGAGCAGCTGTGTCACAGAGACACCATGGGCCTCATGTGAGAACCGCTCATACGCACAGATTTCTTCTTAAGTTGTGTGTACGAGTGATAAAGATAGATTTGTTGAATCTGACTGACATGTTGGTACGAACCCTTCATACCAACAAAAGTAAGAGAAATTTAGGACAAGAACACAAACATGTTGTAGCATGAGGCCCAATGTCTGACATCTCAGAGACTCCAAATCAGGCTTTAGACCCTGAAAACAGCAGAGGAGCTGAATTTACACTTCACTGTCTTTACCCCAAACTGCACCTGTTAACCTTCAGGCACAAAATACCATAAAACGCCTTAAAAAGTAAGATATTTTTCTCCCTAAATTTTTTATTTTTTATTAATAAAGTATCACAGAATATGAAGG